GGCGGGAATCACAGGGGCATCCCTCATCGTTGGCATCCTTCACCTCTGTACCAAGTGCAATGTTATGTACACACGTGGAGCCTATTAAATACTTGATGTGCTAATGAATTCTATGATAGCAATAATAATAAAAATAATTAGATGGCAATAATGACCATAATGGGGAACATTAATAGCCCTATCCTAAGTGCTCGGTACCTGAGTGAAGACAATTAATTCTCTTACTACCCTCATTTTCCAGATGAGGACATGGAGGGTCAGAGAAGTTAAGAACTTGACCGAGGTCACACAGCTGGGTGGCACAGGCAGAACTTGACCGTCAGTATCCGTCCTGCACCAAGCTCTTGGAGACCACTGCAGGCTGCCTCCCAGCCGCTCAGAAAGGTGTTGAAATGTTAAAAAGCGCCTTGTGTGAAAACAAAGAGAAAGGTGTGCTAGACATTTCCACTCCGCTCCAAGGGACTTCTCTCCAGGGCCGTGGTAGGCTTGCACTGCGCCGTGCGCCTGATGATGTGCGGAGCTTCATACACCATCCATCTCTCATCAGAGGGGCAGAGAGCTCTGAGGCTCTCGTTGCTTAAGGGAACAGGGTCAAGGTCACCCAGGCAGCAAGAAGCAGAGCAAGGACTTAAATGAACATCTGTCAGCTTAAAAAATATATAAAATCCAAGCGTTAGATATAGAGCTTCTCCAGATTCAGAGCTTCTCCGTGCAGCTTAAAATTAAATAAATTGATCCATGAAAAAAGCACCGAGCAGCTCCTGGCACCTGGGACATCTCTTAAAAATGTCAACGCTCATCATCTTTATCAACAACCTCTTGAAAACTAGACTTTTTTGGCCGATGAATGCAGCCAGTCGACCCTGATGGAAAGATTCCTTTTTTTCGTTCATCTCGGGTAATGTTGAAATGATGATCAATCCCCATCATCTCTGAGGGACCATAGTCTGTTCCGAGCTGGAAGGGAGAGTGGAGATGATCTCATCGGGTGCCTGCATTCACCCACGGAGAAAAGGTCAGAAAGCAAACACCAGGCAGGGCCGAGCCAGGGGCAAGACTGAGGCACAGTGCCCCCACACCACCTCCCACGAAGATGGTCTTTCACCTGGGAGGGCGTCTGGGTTCCTCAAGTCTACAGGGAAGAATTCACTGGTCTCCCCGGCTGTGAGCTCCAGCACCCAGCCCCACACAGATTAGTAAAGCATTATAAGCCATTAACCAGAAAGCACATCATGTGACTTAATTCCACCTCTGCTAAAGGGCTTAAAATGCTTCGGTGAGTAGCTGAGATTCATAAATAGACATTTCAGCTCTTTTTCAAAGAATTATTAACCAGCTCCATCAGGACTGGAACTTGAGCAGTCAAGGAGAAAAAGAGCTGGCACGAGAAGTTCCCTGCCAAACACTTTGACCCCCAGGGTCTGTCTTCCTGCCCCCCCCCACCGGAGTCACAGGAGGAAGGAGAGAAGCATCATTATGTAAAATGGGGACTAAGAAAATGAACCGTGGAAAAGTACTACAGGGTCTTCCTACCTCAAAGTCAGATTTCAAAGGAGCATCACAGGGTGTTTGCAGAAAGACAGAAAGGTGGGGAGGAGGATGAAGCGGAGGAACAGCCCTGACTTCCCTCACAGGCGGAGACGGGCTGAGCCCACAGGCCGCGGGTGTGGTGCTCTGGTCTCCCATTTACACTGATGATTTTGGGGAACCTATAATTTATGGAGCCCTGGGATACTCATCTCTCTAGCCCACTGAGCACTAATTCTCCCAGGCGTGGAACCAGCTTTTCATTGTACATGTAGGTCTCCATCAGCTTTAGCTTAAGGATTTGGGGGTGGGGAGGGACGGACAGTGGAGAGAAATGAGATTAGGGTCAGTCTTCAAAGGGAAGGAGCAGGAATAGAAATGCTCTCTGTGCGGTTCCTCCAGGCTTTATGCTTCTCCAGAAAGGGTGGAATTCAAGCCTGGAGAACAAGCTTCCAGCCGCCCACCCGCCTGTTAACAGCTCCTGGAACGCAAGGGCTGCCCTCCTCCACACCTTTATCAAAGTCAAGCCATTTCCCACATTCCTTCCTTACACAACCCAGGCACACGAGTGAGTGACGCAGGCCTCAAGCACATTCTGCTTGGGAGATCCAGGAAGCTCTGGCCTGGCCCTCCCTTCTGCAGAGGAAAGTCCAGGCAAAGAGGGATGCCACACCTGGGGGGAGGGGAGGGAGGATGTGACGGCACCTCCAGGAATGCAGGGCCCACGCAGGTGCGTTGGCACTCATGAACTTCCTTCTTAAAAGGCCTGATAAATCAGTACCGATAACAGTAATAAAGCTCAGCCACCCCACAACCAGTCACACAGACCCGGCCCACTCCTAGGCCTCGCCCCGAATGAGGACAGGAGGGTGACAGCTGAGACTGCAGGTGTCCTTAGAGGTTGTAACAAGTTTTCTAGTTCAACAGTTATCACGGTGTGCTCCAGGGATCCCCCGAGAGTCCCTGAGACCTTTTTAGTGGGTTCAAAAGGCCAAACTGTTTTCGCAATCCTGTCATTTTTTTTCTTATCCCCTACTGCCTCATAAATGTATGATGGAGTTTTCTAGAGAGGACGTGACATGTGATGACATCATCACAGGTGACTCTTGGCACGTGTGCTTCTGTATTCTTGTGTTTTAAACATCTCAGTTTTAATTCTAAAATGATACTGACAGAGCACATAAACAAAATAAGTTTCCTGTAGTTTTTAAGATACTTTTTAGTTGCAGTTGGACACAGTAATCTTTATTTTATTTATTTTTATGTGGTGCTGAGGACTGAACCCAGGGCCTGGCACGTGCTAGGTGAGCGCTCTACCGCTGAGCCACAAACCCAGCCCCAGTATCCTGTAATTTTTAATAGCGTAAAATTTGAGACCTCAAAAGTTGAGAACTGATGAACTAATTCAAACAGTTAAAGAGTGTCAGGCGGGTGGCCGTCCATCACACTGAGTTTGAATCACATCAGCACTTTCTACCAGGGTGTGGGGAGGCAGGCTTACCATTCCATCAGGTGGCCTGACAAGCCTTAAAATCTTTCTATTTCTTTTTCTTTTCTTTTTTGTAGTTGTAAATGGACAGAATGCCGTTGTTTATTTTTATGTGGTGCTGAGGATGGAACCCAGTGCCTCACACATGCCAGGCAAGTGCTCTGCCACTGAGCCACAGCCCCAGCCTTAAAATCTCCACAAACATTTGATGAACCGGATCCTCCAGGAGAAAGATGCTTCTCACTTTTGAACCCGGGGAGCAAAGGTAGCCAGGAAAAACCAACCCAGCTCCAGCACCCGCAAACACAATTGTGTCAGGTTCTGTGCCAAGCGCTCCCTGTGGGCAAAGCACAGGTGGGAGTTCTCATTCGGGGTGGTGGCAGGTTATTCGTAAAATTCAAAGAGAAATGAGAAAACTGGAACTTGCCAGAGGCTGGGCAGGAGAGGTACAGGTATCAGGAGGGGTTCGCCGTGAATGACGCCCTTATGCCACTTCCCTCCTTGGAAACCCCAGCTTGCCACCAGCGCAGCCCTGTCCTGGCTCCCGGTTCCAACAGCTTGAGCCTTCAGGGGGTGGGGGCTGCTGGGTCCCCTGCAGCCATAATCTGCAATCTCGCCTCCCCAGGGCGCAGAGAACGGTCGGTGCATTAGAGAGCCTTGGGCCTTCGGTTACCCGGGGACACGGCTCGGTCACTAAGGGAACTGAACACAGTCCTGAAGCTGGCGCTGTGGAAACAGCAGCCAAGAATGGCTGGAGGGAGACTTCAGAGGTTCAAAATAAAAAGAAAGCCCCGAGAGGCCGCTGCAAACTGCTCGGGCAGCCGGGACCTGCGCGGAGCCCTCCGGCCTGGGCCGCGTTCCTCCCTTCCCGGCGCGCACCCGGCGCCCGGGCCCTGCTGCAGGGCAGGGAGGTGCGGAGCTGCAGGGCAGGGAGGTGCGGAG